CCTGGCAACGTGACTTAGGACTCTCTTTCCCCCCCCCCTCTCTCTCTCGCTTTTCTGCACTATGTGCTTTCATGGACGTTGTGTTTTGTACATGTGTGCTACATTGCACGTGCGAAGTGCTAGGTCCTACGTGCATCGGTGCTGGCAGTGTAAATCTGACTTGGTGCAACCTGATTCGCGAACTTGGTGCAACGTGCTTCGTGAGGTTGGTGCTACGTGAAATGTCCTGCATGTTACGTGAACTTCAACGTCGCATACTGCAACATGTGCTAAATCATGGTCGAAGGCTTGCGCATTGTCGGTTGATAGTTGTCGGCTGGAGGCTTTGCCGACATGGCTGACTTAAGTGAGTCTCCATTTCTCTTACCTCCCTCCACGTGCCCTCTCTCCCTCTTCCGTCTGCCGGATGTCCGCCTGATCTCCACCCGACTTCCGCCCTATGCTGCCTCCCTCCTCTCCCCACTTCCTTTCTCCTGTCGACCTCCGCTCGACTTCCTCCCTGCCTCCTCTCTTGGCCTTGGCCCTCCTCTCTCGCTCCGTCCTTCCTCGGCTATTCCTCCTCTCTCGGCCCTCGCTTCTCCCTCCATTCCTCCTTCCCTTGGTCCTCACTTCTCCCTCCCTCCTTCCTCCCTTGGCCCTTCCCCCTCGGCCCTCCCCCTCTCCTTTTCCCTTCTTGGCGCCCACCCTAGCGGATGCATTTCGTCTTTCTTTTTAACCCAATGGGTGCGCGCGCGTGCGCGCGCGCGAGAGAGAGAGAGAGAGGGGGGGGGGGGGGCAGGATGCGTTGTTTTTGGCAGATTGGATCTAAGATTGGAATGAAAGAAGGGTCAGGAGATTAATTCGAGAAGTTGGGAACGGACGGAGAAGTCGGGGGTGGAAAAGAAAAAGAAAGAGAGAGAGAGAGAGAGAGAGAGAGAGAGAGAGAGAGAGAGAGAGAGAGAGAGAGAGAAGCGGGGCAGGATGCGTTGCTTTTGGCGGAATGAATGTAAGATAAGAAAGGACTGACAGAGTGGAGAGAAGCGGTTAACAGAGCCCCAAATTTTCAGGATTTTTTCAGGGTCATTCTAACAAACGTCCCACACCTTCTAAGCCAGACTTGTCAACAGTCCATAGAGTGGACACCAAATAAACCAACAGCAAAAAAAAAGAAAGTAAAAGTTTACTAAAAAAAATAATCGAAGAGGCTTTAAAATCCAAGGCAAAGGTGTGTTTTCATGCAAAATTCACTCTTTTGAATCTCTTTTCAGTTTTCAGGATTTTCAGGATTTTTAAGGGCTGGCCAGAACAGTCAACTCCAAGACCGCGATCTAGAGAGTGCATTTTGTTGCTCGGTTCTTTTTTCCAAGTTACGTAAACACCAGATTTCGTTTGTCCATCTGGAAAAGTGCAAGCATGCACACGCTCACGCTGGCGCGCGCGCGCGCGCGCGCACGCGCGAGAGAGAGAGGACTGACGCTGTGGCGGGCGTAGGGGAACCAGGGGAAGAGCGTGAACTGTGGAAAGAAATATCGATCACTTGAAAATTGAAATACCTGTTGCAGGTCAGTTTGATGATTAATCTTAATGCTGCCCCTCGAAAGTGAGAGGAGAATTGAGGAGGAAGAACTTGAGGAGGAGGGAGACAAACTTTGGGTGCTGGAGGAGATGGACAAAGGAGAAGGTGCGCGGAAGGAAGAGCTTGAGGAGGATGTGGAGGAGGAAGAGTGTGAGGTGGAACGTGAGTGCCCTCTTTCCGTATTTCTTGGGCGCGTGCACCCTTATTGAGATCTGATAAGAAATGCAGCGTTTACGTCCAGCACAGAAATAATAAAAGTGAAATACACCTCTTATTTCCAGCTTTAAGAAAAGAAGGAACCCGGATCGAGGGAGGCAGGAGGTCGGGTGGAGTGAGGGGTGGAGGGAGTAGGTTAGGTCGGTGTCGAAGGAAGCAATGGGGTGGGAGGTCGTGTGGGGAGGGAGGAGGTCAGGCGGAGGGTGAGATAGGCAGAAAGGGAGGGGGGATGTCAGGGAGAGAGAAGTCAGGCGGAGATTGGGCGAAAGAAAAGAGGGGAGGGAGATGGTCGGGCGGAGGAAGGTTGATGACGATGAGAAGGTCGGGAAGAGGCTGGGATGAAGGGGAAACATGGCAGAGAGAAGTCGGGTAGAGGGAGGGCAGAGGATGGGTGGAGTGAGGAGGGAGGGAAGAGGTCAGTCGGAGAGAGAGAGAGAGAGGGGGGGGGCGGGGAGAGCCAGGGAATGAGTAGGACGAAGATTATGAGGAAGAAAACATCGTTTGGACGAGCACGGGGAGGGTTAAGAGCGCGAAGAGGAGGAAGAGAGTGTGGAGAATGAAGAGTGTCATCCGTGTAGGGCCATGCTAATCTCCTGTGTGTCTGTCCTAGGAAAAAAAAAAAAAAAAAAAAAAAAAAAAAAAAAAAAAAAAAAAGGCAGCCCAGTTAATTGACAAACAGGCGTGTGAAGAGGAGGGAGAGCGAAATAAGAGTATGGAATTCAAACGGAGAGCGAAATGAGAGTATGGGATTGAAACGGAGGGTGGAAGGGGGTGAAGGGGTTGGCTAAAGGTGAGGAGTCGGATGGGCGCAGAGGGGGAGGAGGTATGG